CCCGGGAGAGCAATTATGCTAGCAGAGGGCAAAACAGAGATGCAGTGTTTGTTTAAATAGCAATTAGAAAAATTGTTGCTACCCTGAATTGTGGCTTCACCAAAGAACCCTATTTAAAATGTGGCAAACGCTCAGCAACAATTTGTATGTGAACCTTTTGTCTGTGAAGCCTGTGCAGCAGAAAGGCAGTCCTATTTAAAATGAGCTATAAGAATGCTCCTGTCATTGTATCTTCCTGGGTTACTAGCCTGGGACCAGACAATTGAGAATGTAAAGCCTTCTGCTTCCACCCCCTTTTCCCAGCCCGGTGATATGCCCAACTATCATTGGTATTCTTGACTCACCCCTCCCACTGGCAGCTCTATTCAGCCTCTTCAATTCTATTCAGACTCTTTTGACCTGAATCTCAACTCCTTTTGGGGGTCTTACTTTGCTCCTCCTCTGCCAGGATCCTGGGCCTGTTCTGAATCTATTCTGGTCCTGGAAAAATCTGCTCTCTTTGCACTGTCCCCACTCTGTCTAATCCATTTGGCTTCATATGAGCTGGATTCAGTGAGCTCTGCTCTCATATCATTTTTGCCAATCACAATTTCCATCCATCAGCCTTATGAAAACCTTGAGGAACATCATCCCTTCCCTGTCGTCTTCCTCCAGTACCCCAGCTCCCACAAGATGTTTCTTCCCAGAGGCCCAGACCAGTCCTCTACTTTGAGTGAAGTGCACTCTCTGCCTTGCTTCTGGAATCTTTGAACCATCAGAAAGAACCATGGAAACATTTCCAGTCTAAGACCAGCCAAACACCTTGCTATGAGCAAGATCATGTTGGAGTTATTTGCTTGCATTAAAATGGAAGCCTCAGGACAATAAGAAATAAAAACTTGTTCAAGAGAATCACTCTCCCATCCTTTATTAAATGAAGTACCAGCTGATAGGTAAATAGCACCTGCACTCTTGGATAAAGAAGGGCTTCTTCAGCTGCAGACCTGCAGTGAGCCCCAATCAGCGGGTTATGGCCTTCAAAGCAACCAAAACTCTGTCAATACTGGAAAGACCTTCCAGAGAAGGAGTATCATCTCCACCCTCTTGCTATTTCATTCAGGCCCAAAGGTATGATCATACCTCATCTTACCAGATTCGGGACACTATGGAATAAATGTCATCCTAATTTTGGTAGAAACATTAAAGTAAGTCAGCACAATTTCTAAACAGATGGACTTTGAGTCTAGGGTTTGCAAAAGTTACATTCTCCTTCATTGTGTTAGGTAGTTAGAGTAGGAAAAAGGGGTCTAGAATGGCGTGGCTAAAAGACAAGGAAGGGAAAAGCCTGCGAAAATAGAACAAAGGAAGGTCTGAGGACCAGAGTGAGGACCTCAGGTAGAACAAATAGCACTGCTGGCTAGCTCAATTTACATAAGGCAGGCCCAGGGGGAGGAAAAAGCATATAAAAAGAGGAGCCAAAGGGCTGGGGCTGGGTGGGGGGGGGGCGGTCCTCTCTTCTGTGCACGCATGCACGGTCTCTCTTTCTCTCTCTCTCTCTTCTCTTTGCATCTTTTGGGTCAGTGTGCCATCATGCCTTGAGGATGTATTTTCCTTTATTTTCTAAATAAAACTGAGCTGTAACGTGGAGCTGTAACACTGTCTGAGAGCTGTGATGCACCAAGGGCTTTAACGTCCATCACTTCAAATTTTTGTTGTGATGAGACAGAACCAAGGAAATAACACACTCCCCCGACAACTGTAATTGTAATTGCCTGCAGAGAGGCAAGTAGAACTCCTTGTTCCCTTCTTAAAGATCTGCAATAATAGGTTAATAATAGCCTCAGCCTGTGAATCCTGTTTCCCACAGTTGGGGGGGGGGCGGGGGGTGGGGTTTAACATCTTCATCCTGGAAAACTGGAGTCCTTCCCATGGAACATGTGTGTTGAGCTTAGCAGAGACAGCCCTTTCCACTCTGGAGGTAAGACTGGGAAAATGTGAGTCCAGAACCCTCTGCTGCCTCTGGGCCCACTGCCTGTCCAAACCCACCTGCAGGAGGAGAGAAGGACGTTGTTACAAACAAGAGAAGAAGAGGTGAGTGACACCAAGGGGGCCCAAGTTCCCAATCTCAAAAGACTTCAGAAGAAAACATCACATTACACTTGAAAATATGCAGGTTACTTTCAAATATCTTTTGATGTTGATTTCTAACATAATTATAATTTTACAGTGATAAGAGACTAGACTCTGTATGATTTCAATACCTTTACACCATGCCATTTTCGCACCGTGTTTAGTGTCCCTGGCTATATTCCAATATCTCCTAGTTTACAGCCTATGGGAACTGAAATAGAATCTGTATCTTACTGTTATATGAAAATTGTATACATCTTAATTATGTTGAACTGGCTCATAGTGCTTTTCAGGTCTGCTATAATCTTCTACTTCTCTGTATATTCGTTCTATTAATTTTTGAGAATATGATATTGAAACACCAACTCAAAATTTTAATTTACTTACTTAAAAATAAGGGTAATATGTAGTGGAACTATATGTAAATTTGCTCTGCATTTTCCAAGTCTCCTGTAATTGTGTTAGCATGCTTTCATAATTTAAAAAAATAAAAATTAAAAAAATGTCCTCAGAAGAGCCCTAGGTACAACCCTCCTAAGGCTCTGCTTTTATGTTGTGGTTTTTTACCGCTGTTGGTTTTGACTTTCTGAACTACCCTGATCCCTCAACTAAATCTTTTTATATGTAGATGAATCTATTTGGCTTTCTAGTACCTGGAAGTCAAGCATCCAAAGTACCAAATGGCCCATAACTTATGTATTTTAGTAATGGATATAATTACTGTGTGAGGCCTTGATGAAATGCACACCAGTAGGATGGCTTCTCCCCTTACAATACTAACCTTCCAGGAGAAGACATAGCTGGATAGCACTCGCTTTCTCTGAGTTCCTGGATTCACCACCCTGGGTGCCAACGACCCTTTCTAAGGACACTTTAGCATGCTCTCCCCATAGGAGCAGCAACAGCCCCTTTTCCATTTTATATTGCTATTATCTAGTGCAACCATAAAGACCCTCCAAATACTTGTTATGGGAATAAGTGAAATGCAGCAATACTAACAACAATACTGTTTTTATGGTTTCAAAGCCCTTCCAGATAAATCATCTCAAATACCATGGGATTTCTATAGTAGAAAGTTGATGTTTATCAGCATCACAGCTAAATAAAAATATCCTGTAAGACCTTCAGCTTCCTTCCCTTTTCTTATCTAATCTTAATCTGATTTTCTAAGGAGACTTTCTTACTGGGAAAAGAATGAGCTCATGATTGGGAACAGGAGAGGAAAGGTGATACAAGTATCTGGTTGACTTGGCTGCATTTCCTGAAAATAAAATTAATTGGTTTCCATTGAACATGAATCTCAGAACCTCAGGTACCTAACAACCTGATCCTCTGATGGTGACCCAGGAGCCAAAGTTTAGGATCTGCAAAGCTGAGCCTGAAACACCTCATTCATTCGTTCATTCAGCAAGTTCTACTGCATGCCAGTTACATACCAAACATTATGGTGATTGTGGTGACCCTCTCACCACATTGTGGTGACCCTTGGAATTTTACGGCTTAGTATGGTGGTCCTCACCTGCCAGTGCAGCAGACAAGAGACTCGAGTTCAGTCCCTGGGTCAGGAAGACCCCCTGGAGGAGGAAATGGCAACCCATTCCAGTGTTCTTGCCTGGAGAATCCCATGGACAGAGGAGCCTGGTGGGTTACAGTCCATGAGATGGCAAAGAGTCAGATGCGTCTGAGCTCTATATAGTGTAAACATAACAGTTGTTCTCGAACTGACTTGTACCCTGGAATCACCAGGAGAGCTGATACCTGAATCCTACTCCAAGAGCTTGTGATTTCCTTAGCCTGTGATCTGTGTATCTGCAGTTTCAAAATGTCCTCAGGTATCCCACGAAATATGCCACCACAGCTGATTGCCACTAGTCTAGAGAGAGAGTGATGAATAAGCAGGTAATTACTAGAAAGGGTTTTAATCCCTGATGCAGGGGAACCCTCTCCACCCCAGCTCGGGAGATCCTGAGAGACTTCCCTGAGGAAGCAGCTGAGCCCAAAGGGGCCCTGAGGACTGGCCCAGGTGATGATGTTGAGAAGCTGAGAGAAGAAGAGTATTCTGACCAAAGAGAATAGTAAATGTCATAAGAAAGTTCCCTAAAGGGAGAGAGAGAGAGAGAGAGGATGAGGGAGTCTGCTGTGTTAAAAAACAGAAAATAGTCTTACAGCGAAAGGAGAGATAGGAAGTGATAAAAATTGAGCTTGAAGAGGTGAGCAAAGGTCAAAACACAAAAATGGAAGTTTCAGGATGTCAGAAGGCAATGGGGACACATTACAAAGTATGTGGTAGGAGAATGAAAGGATCTTCTGTGCTAGAGATAGAACCTTCTCTAAGCCCTTGCTCATCAGAATGACACCAATGGCCACACTTGTAAATAAGACCAGCCTGGAGGTAGCATGGTTAATGCAGATTTGTAATTGTGTTGATGATTTATCCTTTCTTTAAAAATCTTGTCCTCCTCATTGTCTGTGATAAACTTATAGGGTTCTTTTTCTCCCCAGGAGATCAAAGCAGCTGCATCATCTCATTAACCTTCACCCCCAGAGAAGATGGCAAGGTAAATGATGTTATATTAGGGAAAATTTTAAACATGTAAAGTTTAAAAGACTTGCCAAGAACTCAGTGTGATAAGCAGATAAAATGCCAGATTCTAAGGCTGGTTTTTCTTCTGATTTTTAGGCACTGATTTATCTGTGAGATGACATTGTGGGGAAAGAGGAATAGGTCAGCTTGGAGCATGTCTGCAGGCAGGGTGGCATGGAGCTTCAAGCTAACCTGCACTTAGAAAAAAATCAGAGGGGAACAAAATTGCTTTTTGCTCAGTGAAACTCTTGCAATTTCAATTCCAGGGGAAATAGTTAATTCATGAACTGAGCTGTGAGAGGAATGAATGCACTGGCTCCCAGAGGAAAAGGGATCTGGGTAACTCACCAACTGCTAATACAAATTTTAGACTATTTTACATTTACCCTCATGGGGGGAAAGCTAGAAATTGCTTATCTAAAGCTAAAACACTGTGGACTGGATTTGATGAGTAGATTTTTGCTAACTCACCCACCACACGATGAGGTTGGCCCCTTTATTCGGTTTTGAATCAGTCGGCTGTTTCCCAACAAACCGCCAGCTTCTGTAGGCCTACGTCTGATTTTCTGCTGCCCTTGCCTGAAGTTCCCTCCTGCCTGATCACCTGAAAAAGATGGTTCAAATTCACCTTTTCAGTTCTAGCTCTGAGCCCAGCCCATTGCCTGAGTTCAGACAAAGTCAGAGTATGGATTAGACCAGTGCTTCCCAAACTGTAGTGGACGTCTTCCCAAATCACCTGGGAATCCTGTGAAAGTGTGGACCCTACACTCTACATTTCTAATGAGCTCCCAAATTGTGTCAGTGCTGCAGGGCCATGAGCCACACCTTTTTCTCTACCTGTTCTCAAGCTCTGAGATCTTTCCACTCAAAAGCATCTTCCCATCAGCCTGCTTCAGTTTTTGTTAGTAGAGCCTCTGAGTCTTAAAGGCCTTTTGCCCTTTCAGAGTCTCCTTTTTAAAACACTTTCCCTGGAGGGTTAATATTTGATGCTCTGTCTTAGCTAAGAGGGTCAGGGATTAGATTTCAGTTGGTTGAAACCCAAATCAAAGTGGAATGAGTCAGGACTGTGGATATTAAAAGGACAAAGGCAGCAAGGAACAAAGAAAGGGACTCACTGATGATACATTCTTCTCCAATTAAAGGGAAACTTACAAACAAACAAAATCAAGCCACTCTCCCTGCCTTCAGTGGAGCTTCAAACCAGAGGATGTTACCTGGAACACACTGGAGAGTCATAACCTTGGAGGTAAATCCCACTCTGCCCTACAACTGGGACTTGGGAAAAACTATGTAACTTTCTACATTAGTTTCCTGATCTATAGACTAGAAATGGCAATACTTACTCCATCCACCGCAACTTGTTGTGAGAGCTAAATGAGATATTTAATCTTAGCTATTGCCAAGCAACTACTACGGTAGCCCTAATAGTCACTCAAAATATAATCAAAATGTGTGTAGCAAACAATGCCAGTGAAATTAGCAAAATTCAGATTATCAGAAGAGCTCAAGAAGGTGTTCAGGAAACCAACACACTCCAGTTTGGGATGTATAAAGGGAATATAATTCATCATATAATTTGTCCTCTCATACCTGTGTTGCATCTCAGCTCTCAACCTGCAATGAAGTCTTCTCTGACTCCTCCTTTCAATGACCGGCCACATTTCATTTATTCCTAGATTCTTCTTCTAGAGAAATGCAATATACGAGAAGGAAAACAGCCTCTAGATTCCTCTTGGTATGCCTTACTTAATTAGAAGAAAACACTGGAAATCCATTACTTCATTTGCCATTTACTGACTGATGTTGGGCAAATAACAAACTTTTCCACTTTTAGTTTCCCACTCTGTCAAGTGGGTGGAACAACAGCTCTCCTAGATATTTATTGCGCACTTAATATGGAGTATTGTACATGGCCCCTCAGTCATTGAAAACTGCAGTCCCTTCTACCTCAAACCCCCCATCAATGTTCCTTCATCCCATGTGTCAAATGAACAAGTCCCTAAGAAGCAAAGAAACCAAGTTGAATATTGATTCTCACCTTACAGCTTCATTTCTTTTCTCTTAACGCTTGCCCAAGCTGATGTTGCCAATTTTCCCCAGATGGAGCAGTCCAAAGAACTATAGGAGAAACTGAGCTGAAGGTGATGTTTTAGGGCTGTTCTTTTCTAACAATAGGTCTAAAAAAGGCCAATTTGAATTTCTAAGGAGGTCAGCACCTCAGCCACTCGGACTCAAGATGAGAATCGCTCTAGGAAATGGAGTTGTCGGGACAACACTGCAGGTGACAGTGGGGGACTGTCCTCTTCCCCACCTAGAACTCAGATGGGCCCAAGCCAAGAATCAAAAGCAAAATTGGCAATATACGCTTTGTTTCCTGACAAATGATGATCAATTTAGGCCGTGATGATTTTTCTAAGATACCATTTAATATAAATTTTGTTTTATATGAGTTAGCAGATGGGGCCTGAAAGCTGCAGAGCAGAATGGATGTGCAAAATGTTGTAAGTCACATAGGTAGGATGACAGGTTCCACGTGTCTGCGTGGAGTAGGGATCCATTAAAAAAATAAAAAGAAAATCAGGTCAACACCTAAGTGTTACGAAGATGAAAAAAAAATCGTAACTGGAGAATCTAGGGATTTTTAATCTGATCTTTTTTTTTAAGATGGGAAATGAAGTGTTGAAGTACCCCTTGCGTAGAGTACCACTTTTATCAGTTCTCACCTCTTCCCTGGGTCTCAGTTTCCTTATCCAGAAGATGAGGCTTGTTTCAGGTCAGAGATGGCAAAGAAGTTTCCCTTCGGGTGCTAACTCTAACCCTTGGCGGTGGCTGAGGACTGGTCTGGGAAATCTGAGGCTCCAGCTGGACTGGAATCACAATGTGCTTAGTCCTTCAGTCATAGCCAACTCTTTGCGACCCCATTCTCCAGGCAAGGACACTGGAATGGTGTGCAATACCCGTCTCCAGGGGATCTTCCTGACCCAGGAATCCAATCGGCATCTCCCACTTCTTCATTGGCAGGTGGCTTCTTTACCACTAGCGCCACCTGGTGTCATAATAAATAGGTGATTATTAATAAAGCAGAGACATTACCGACAAAGGTCCGTCTAGTCAAAGCTATGGTTTTTCCAGTAATCGTGTATGGATGTGAGAGTTGGACTAAAAAGAAAGCTGAGCACCGAAAAATTGATGCTTTTGAACTGTGGTGTTGGAGAAGACTCTTGAGAGTCCCTTGGACTGCAAGGAGATCCAACCAGTCCATCCTAAAGGAAATCAATCCTGAATATTCGTTGGAAGGACTGATGCTGAAGCTGAAACTCCAATACTCTGGCCACCTGATGTGAAGAGCTGACTCATTTGAAAAGACCTTGATGCTGGTAAAAACTGAAGGCAGGAGGAGAAGAGGAGAACAGAGTATGAGATGGCTGGATGGCATCACCGACTCGATGGACCTAAGTTTGAGCAAGCCCCGGGAGTTGGTGATGGACAGGAAAGGCTGGTGTGTTGCAGTCCATGGGGTCACAAAGAGTCGGACACGACTGAGAGACTGATCTGAACTAACCAGGGTAGAGCCTGTTATATCTGTGCTAAACATCTGAACTCAAATGGTCTCTGATTGTTGTTGTTCAGTTGCTCAATTGTGTCTGACCCTTTGCAACCCTATGAACTGCAGCACACCAGGCTTTCCTGTCCTTCACTGTCTTCTGGAGTTTGCACAAACTCATGTCCATTGAGTCAGTGATGCCATCCAACCATCTCAAACTCTGTTGCCCCCTTCTCCTCCTGCCTTCAATCTTTCCCAACATCAACGTCTTTTCCAATGAGTCAGTTCTTTGAATCAGGCGGCCAAAGGGTTGGAGCTTCAACTTCAGCTTCAATCCTTCCAATGCATATTCAGGGTTGATTGCCTTTAGGATTGACTGGTTTGATCTCCTTGTAGTCCAAGGGACTCTCAAGAGTCTTCTCCAACACCACATTTTGAAACCATCAGTTCTTCAGTGGTCAGCCTTCTTTCTGGTCTCTGAAGACCACTCCATTCTTAATAGTTGTTGATCCTAATGTGCCCACCATGGGATGAAGGGAAGAGGCAGAGGAGGAGCTGTAGAAGATTGTATCAAGAGGCTCCAGAGAGAGAATAGTCCCCTACAGGTAACCCAGGAGCATAGTTTTGGCTAAAAGATATTCTGAAGTTTGACCACTAACTGCCACCCACAAATTCAAGCCCAGGCAATACATGTGACACAGAGATTTTTTTTTTTAGTGTATTTTTAAACAACAAAGATATAAGTCCTCATAGTTCTCTCTTTTGGCATCTATGATGCATTGAATTGTGGACCCCAAAAGACTTGTCCATTTCTTCAAGCCCAGAACCTGCAAATGTTACCTTATTTCAAGAAAGGGTCTTTGCAAAAATACTTAAAGATCTTGAGATGAATCATTCTGGATTACTCAGGTGGGTCCTAAAACCAGTGACGTGTGTCCTCATAAGAGACAGGAGAGATGACGCATGAGGAGGAGAAGGGACTGCCCACGGAGGTAGAGGTTGGAGAGATGCAGGCCAAAGAGGCCAAGGAGGGCTGACAGCCACCAGCAGCTAGCCGAGGCAGGGGAGGACCCTCGCCTGGCCCCCAGAAATCAACACGAGGAAGTAGACACCTGTTGTCAGCCACCGTGTTTCAGATCACTTTTACAAAGCCTCAGGAAACTAGTACATCAGCCTACAGTACAGGTGTTTACAGAGCAGCTCTGGCTGGCCGGAGGAAGAATCAGTTCACGGCTCTCCACAGAGGGCACTGGCCCAGGTCCTTGCCATTCCTTTCTGCCACCCGCCCTTCGGACTCTCTCCCTGACACAGGCTTGCTTCTGCAGCTCAATCAAGGAGCCCCCGCCTGCTGTCCTCTGGCCCTCCACTCAACTGTGTCATCTTGACCTTCAGGTGGCCTCTTGTAGGCCACCCTTCAGGCCCACCTAGACCTCAGCCAAGTCCTATAGTCTAACTTCACTACAGCCTAATCGTTCATCATAGTTCTAGCTGCACAGAATGCTCCTGGCAGTGCTGAAGAACATATGCTTAAGCTAGACTCCCTCCCCTTTATCACCCAAATGACAGCTTAATACTGCCCGAGTCGGTGTCGCCGAAACTCGGCCAGCATTTGGCAGCTGAGGAATGGACCAAAAGAGGAACTCAAATGCAAGCAACCTCCCTAAAATAGTGTTTGATAAGGAAATGTTCCTCTCTAATTTGTATTAAATAATGGGCAAAGGGACCACTTCTGAAATTTCATCATGATGACCTGAGAGCTTCAGCCTACAGGAACAGCAAGTCACAGTGAGAACAAGAGGACCAAACCATGAGTTTCATTGGATGCAATTGCCATTGCCTTACCTTTTTCTCTCCCCCAGACTTACACACTCTACTTCTACTTCTCATTTCATTCCACAGCCACTTACTAGACCTCTCTAGGAAAAACAGAGCCAGCTGTCCTATGAGCTTTGCCCTCCAACCCCGTCACAGCTTGTGGTAAGGGACTAGTATATGGCTCATGTCTCTCATTTTATGATGACACCTGTGATGACAAAAACCCAGGCCACAGATTCTATTTTCTATATGATACTATAATATCTTATATTATTAGAGTCCGTTACTTGCCATCTGTGTGACATAGAACATTTATTTAATGTCTGGGAAACACTGGCTTCTTGTCTATGGGGAAGGAATAATAATTTCCTTGCATGATGACAGTGAGAATCAACATACCTAGTTCAGGGCCAGGCACAGGACTGGCAAAGTTCCCAGGAAATATCCATTACCATGATTCCCACAATTATTGTGATTGCTGTCATGGCTACCCTCCCGCAAAGATACATAATCCTTTGTCTCACGACATGTCTGCTTGCCTCCGTATTTGCTCCTATAATGGCTGGGGGAGAGATGAAGACCATGGAAGAAATGGAAGCAAAAACTTGGGGGCTGCTAGATTAGAAGGGTCTGAGCTGTTCCTGGGCCAGGAGATACATCTGTATAGCAGCCTCTTTGATAACTCTCTTTTGTATTCTGAGCACAGAGTCCTCATTAGACCCTTTTGCTTCAGAAATCACAGCAGCCTGACACTTGATTTTATCTCCAAAATCACCAACCTGCATAAGAAATATGCATCATCCCAAGAAACCACCTTGCTTTGGGAATAATTAGACACGTGACTCCAGAATTGCCCAGTGCGGACAGCCCAGACTGTCCTTATCCCT